GTCCTGGCATGGGTGTTCGGGGAGGGGAACACATGGAGGCACGAGCTGTGTGCAGTGCATGGAGCACGCGCTGCCTTCCTCCCTTCCTACAGCTGGGAGAGTTAAACGGGCAGATCTGAACGTGGAAAGAATTGCTTATTCCCTTTTTCATTCTCTCTTGCATTTGGGCTTTTATAAAATCTGAATCTGGCACCCCCAGTTCTCATTGACTTTTAGGAAACAGGATATTTAAGTAGCTTGGAATGAGATGAAATGCTTGCAAAGCCCATATGTTGCTTGTTTTAGGGAAAGGGTCAGGAAGGTTTTAGAAAGTATTTAAGTATTTGGTTTACACGATTAGAATAGATTGTCTGGAATGAAGTCCATTACCCGAGGTGATTTTTGCCTCGCCGTTTTGGTTTTCATTGCAGTTTTTTGGAGTATGAGGTAGGTGTTCTGGCATTGCAGCACCCCAGCACAGTCAAAGTTAAGGGCTGTGAATAAATAGTGTAGCTGGGATCTGGCCACTGCCAGAACCACGGATACCTGCTGGGCTGTGAGCTGCAGTCTGGGAAATGCCTCCTGGTAGAGCAGGTGATTGCCAAGTCCTCTGATGCCAGTCTGTGGAATCCCAGCAGCTCCCTTCTTAGAAATGGACCTTTTCCAGTCTCCATAGGCAAAGCTTTCAAGTTGAATTACGTTTCTTGAGAGCTGCAGCCTGATACTAACTCATTTTAGGTGTGTTTTCAGCCTTCTACAGCTTGGAATTTAATTGTTCTGTCCTAAGTTTTTCATGAGGTGTGATCGTTCCATGTTCATTGATTATGGAAAATAAGGTCTTTTTTTTTTTTTTTTTTTGTTTGGAAGGTATTCCTATGAGACTGGTGGTTTTTCTGTTCTGAAAGTCATTGTGAAAAAACAGACTTTGCTGGTCCAGATGCTGCTCTGGGTGCCACACTTGTACCACCCCAGACCGTCACTGCTGGGTCCAAAGCCCATCTTCCCGTTGGGCTTTTGCTGTGCATTGTTGATATTTTTATGTGAATTATGAAGCATCCTTTGATATCTGGCATTTCCCCTTGTGATCCTCTGTTCCTTTTTATGAGTACTTGCCTCCTCACTTCAAAAGCAGTTCATCACCTTCCCGCAGACAGTTCTTAACCGGTTTGGAACTGTCAGGCATTCCTGGGCCTGTTTTATGTGAGTTACTCTCCAAAAACATTCAGAAAGTGGCTATGATGTGCACAGACCTCAAATCTCCTTTGCCTGCATGTGAAGGATCTCCTCATCATATGCTGACTTGTTCTGTGGACTTACTGACTGAAAGAGCAACTGAAATTAAGAGAGTGATTAAACCTGCCCTGTCCTGAGCTGTTGCAGTGGGTTCATCCTAAATTGTCTGGAAGTTATTGTATGCTGGAAAAAAATATGTTTGGCATTGAGGCAGTGCTGAAGCAGTGTGGGTTTGACTTCAGCTGCAGAGGGACATCCTGGAGCCCTGTGCTTGGCCTCACTGGAACCATCCAGTCCTTCTGCAGCACCAAATCAACTCATCACTTTCTTTTGGAGAGGAGGAAAGCTTCTTCTGATGACAGTTCAAAAGGAAGATAATTGGCATGGGGTAGTTAATGCAAGTTGCTGTTCCTTAACATCAGAGATTCACTAAAATACTAATAATTACTGTTAATATCTTCCAGTGGAAACTTTCTGAGTAAACGAGCACTGGTTGAGGCAGCATTTAACGGCCACCGCTGGCATGATCAGAATGCAAATAAGTGTTATTAGCCTAATGATTTTGCTGTCACCACGGTGTGCAGCAGTAGTGTTGTGAATATGTCATGCAGTACCCGTGAATTTGGAAAGTGTGTCAAAACACAACTTCAATTAGTTTGCTCTAATTATGGCTCTAGAGAGTTCATAACTATATATCACTCCTCATTAAAAGAGATTTTCTTGTATGGATTAATACAGCACATAAAGGGGTGTTTGAGCGATCGGAGGCAGGGCTGTGCAGAGAGGGATGCCCATGGGATGCTGGGAGGTGCGGCAGGTCTAGAGCAGTGCCAGGGTCCAGCTCCATCCCGTGAGCTCCTGGTGCAGGACCAGGGCTGGGATACCTCCCAGGCAGGAGCGGGCGGCTGTGCCAGGTCAGCTGTGGGTTGCAGCTTCAGTGTCCCTCAGCACAGGAGCCTCTTGGATGGTTTTGGACAGGCTCTTCAATTGAAAATAACCAAACCAATAATAAACTGGAACAACAACAAAACCCAAACCACAAAAGCCCTGGGAGGAACCACACTTGCTACTAAAATAGAGATGTGACCTGAAAGCTTTGCTCTGGTAAAGGCCAAGGAACACAGGCAGTCAGAAGCCTGTGCCAGCCTGGCCTCCGCAGAGAAGCCCTTTGGGATGCCGGGTGTCCATGCCCCTTTCCCAGGGCATTTATAGTGCCTTTTGCATACTATCTTGTCACATTGCCTGAGCATGTTCCAGCTTTGCAAAACAGCAAAAAGATTGTTGTGCTCACAGGTGAGAAGTTGTGGAAGGGTTAAAGTAGTAATTGTTTAAATCTTTTAGGCTTTCCTCCCAGTTCTGAGGTAATTTGATGAAGAACTTCACCCTAATTAAATATTCAAATTAGGAATAAGTGTCAGTATGGCTTCCCATTGCCTGGAATGATGATTAATTGTATTCAAAACTCTAGTGGCCGCTGTAATCTAAACCAAACCGTTGTTCTTGATTATTTGTGCAACACATTTACCATGTTTTTGTTTTAAAATTTAAACTAGTAATTGATTTGCCATATGCCGCAGAGCTGCACATACTTCCACGATATGTGTTTAGGAACTTGGGGACTTTGTAATTGGGGTTTTCTTGCTTTTCAATGGCAGCCTCTTTTTTTTGTCTTCTACAATGCAAAATGATTTGGCTCTCACAACACATAAGGAAAATGCATTATGCAATCAACTTTGTAGGTATAAGTTATATTGATCCTGGCCAAAGTTTGCATTAATTTAAAATAAATTGGGCTTTGTTTCCCATTTCTCCCTACAATGTCATACTTTCATAAAAGGACAGGGGGAAGGAGAGACCTGACTTCCATCCAGCCCTGTCTTATGGTCTTGCAGCTAATGTTCTTCTTGGAGATATTTCTCTGGCTGTCCACATGCAGCTCAGTGGGAGTGATAGAATGCCCAGTTGTCCTACTGCAGGAATGGCAAGTGGCCCCCAGGGTGGGGATGCTGGCCCTTGTTACAGCCACAGTCAAGCCCCTGGTGTCAAGGCTGGGCTGGCACTCCTCACCAGCCCCACGAGCAGTGTTGGGAGTGCTGAGGGCAGGTCTACACGTGTGCACTCCCCGTCACCTTCATTGTGCCTCTGCCACCCTGGGATTCCTCAGGGTGTCTTAACATCCATCCATGTTAACTGGAGAGCAGAGGGGTTCCCTGTGGAGCTGGGCAGTGAGGGCTGGGCACGCCTGCTGCCGCTGCAGTCGTGCGTGTGTGGTCAGTTCCTGGGCAGGTGAGCGATTCGTTTTCATCGCACGCGTGGCACGCGCCCTCCATCTGCTGTGCGTGTGAGCTGCCTGGCATGGGGGAACCGACTGGGGCTGTGGTGCAGAGATTCTTCTGCAAGCAAAGGACTCAAAACTGTGCTGGAAAGCTGCTGCCTGCGTTCTGGAGCCAAGGGCTGTGTCGTGGTGCTCAGGCAGTGCTGCCTCGAGCCGGCTGTGGGGCAGTCCCTGCAGTCTTCTGGCTGAGGGCACATGCCCTAGCGTGGCAGTGGGCTGTGCAGGAGGGCTGTCCAGAGGGCAGGGCATCAGCCTCTCCTGCAGCACAAACTGGTACGAACTTCTAAAGAATACTTTCCTTAGAAATGGCCCTTTTAAGTAGATCTGCTTTGTTTGCTTCCAGAACAATTCCTGCTGTTCTGTTTGTGGTGAAGAAAGCAGTCCCCCCACAGACCAGAGAAATTCATAGTCTTTCTATTGGCTGTTTTGGTGCCTTGGAAAGTATTTTTGGATACTGCTATTAAAAACCAAATGAAAAGTGTGTCATGCCTACAGGCAGTGGTCTCCTGTTTTAAAGTGTGTTCATGACAAACCTTCTTTGGAGACTCTCATGTGGATTGTGTTTTAAACAGCATACTGATAGCCAAATTCAAATGTATTTTCACACCATCTTTTTTTGGTTAGAAATAGCTTTGGGGAGCACAAGCAAACTCAGACTGATGTTTGCTTTTTCTTGTTTTATCTGTGCTGTTCACCATCAGCTGCATCGAGGGCTAAAAATACATAGTTCTTCCCAAAATGTGTCTTGTTTTTAAAGACAAATAACTTCCAGATGATTCATGTGGTAGATAAAACCTGCTGGCTGAGAACGTGAGTTTGATGCTCTGCTGGAGAATACACAGGGCCCTGTCTCACACATTGGGACTCCAGGAGGACACAAAGGTCACCTAGTTCTCCCTCTGGCAGGAGGGTGATGCTGAGGGTCTGCTTGTGCCCAGGAGCTCTCACTCAGGTGAGGTGGGAGCTGCTGCCTCATGCTGCACTGAACCCCTCTGTGAAGAGGGAGCTGCTTCATTATGTGTGGCAACACGGTCCAGAAGATTAATGGTAACATTTTACTAAAATTCACACAGACTTGGGATCTGTATTAAAAAAATATAGATTTTAATTGAAAGGGAAAAGCCATGTGGGCTGTTCCTGGGTGCTGGCTTGAGTGGAGCTGCTGTGCCTGGCCGGGGGCAAATGCCCTGGTCAGAGTGGATGCCCTGCCAGGGCTGGATGCTCCACAGGAGTGAATGGTCACCATTGCAGCCCTCAGTTTTTGGCTGAGCCCAGTGCTCAGTGGGGTGGAGGAGGCTGATCTTGGACGTAGACAGTTTGTAGACAGTTTTGGAAGCAATGTTAATACTAGCTGCTTTACCTGACTGGAGTCGTTAGGTTGGAGCGAGCTGACAGCAGCAGCGTTTTCTGCTCTGTAGTAACGTCATCCCCATTTCCCCTCTCTCTCCCTCAGGCATATCTCACTGACGCTCCCGGCCAGCTTTCGGGGCAAGAGTCACAGCACCCGCCTGGACCTGGAGCACCAGCACTCCAACCTGTACGCAATCTCAGGTGAGCTGCCACGGCTTCTTTGCTCTTGTGGAATCAGAAGTGTAAACAAGTACAGCAAACCTGCACGTGCAAACAGCCAGGTGTGTGGTACCCGTGGAACAACATCAGCTTTTGATCAGTGCCATTTAATAGTTGAGGGCAGCTGGGATGCAGAGAGACCCCAGGCAGGTGTTGCCAGCAGGAGGTCTTACTGATCCCCAGAGACATTGCAGCCCCTGAGGAGGGATGCTGCTGCCTGACAGGGTGCCATGTTAGAGCTCTGATGGCAAACAACGTTTGCACATACTTTGCTCCTCATCTTTTTCGTGATGTTCACAGGCTAGTCACAAGAGATATCTCTGCTGGTTTCACAAGAAGCTTAGTCCTGCCCAGCAGGGATGTTTCAAACACAGTGGTCTTTGCCACCCTTAACATACACAGTAAAAACAGATGAGACTTTTACTCTTCCCCATTTCTATATTCGAAATACTAGCACTGCATGAATTTGCTTCCTCAGTATTAGGGCAAATTTGGAGTTAGATGTTAGGATATGGGGGTTCTGCTTTAGTTGTGAGAACATGTATGTACATGCATGCTTGGTCTCTCTAGTTGCAGATTTCACCATTCCAAACCAGTATACAAGTGCTAGAGCCAGTGATAGTTTCCAGATGTTGTGGAATGAGCCTTTCAATTAATATTTTAGCCAGTTTTTGTTTTTAAGTAGTACTAATCTGCAGGGAGTTGTTTATTGAAGTAGAGTGAGGAGGGTCAAGCCTATTCCTTCCTCCATGCAGGTACAGGTACTTGTTACTGTGCCTCACGACCATGCAGTGGGTTGTTTTGGAGCTGGGGTGCTTGTGACTTGTCACTGGCAGCTCTGTTCTTCAGGAGGAGGTCCTGGCTCCAAGTGCTTGCTTTCTTGAAGGAAGACTGAACTCGAAGGGAACGTAACCAGATTCTGTGGGCCCAGGAAGAGCTGCCTCTGAGAGCAAGAGGCAGGAATGGTTTAGAGTTGTACCTCATGGACTCCATCACTCTTGAATGTGCTGAGAGCTGTGTGGTCTGGGATCAAAGCTGTGTTCATGGACCAAAGCAAAGGGACTTCTGGTTCTGCAGAGTAAAAAATGCTGGGTGCAACTGTGGCCCAGGAGTGTGTCTCACCCACCCCTTCTCTTAGGGGCTGGCTCGTGTGTTGTGCTTTGGCTGGGTATTGCTGAGGTGCAGCAGTTTTCCTTGGAGTTTTTGGGGTTTTTTTTGAGTACTAATACACCTGAACAAATATTGTGACAGGCATGGTAAAATCGCACTTAGCCACATTTTCTCTTTGTTATGTTTTTTTTGAAAGGGAAAAAAATATTGCCTTTAAACCTGACTCCATCAAAACGTAATGAAAGTCCAGTCGCTTCTTCTGGCTGAAGGAGATTTTAGGACAGTTTGGAAACCCAGTAAAAAGAGCAGTGGATTCAGTTGGCTGTGCAGTAGGTACTGCTTGTGCATAATCAGGGAAGAGAAGATGACAAAAATGTGCCATTCACAGGCTCTTGCTATTAATAGTGAGTGACACTTGTAACATGGGAACATGACATTAATTCATGTACCATAATCAAAGGGTTATTTAAAAGGTAATCTCTGCCTGAAACTGCAGCTTTGGGTTCCTAAAGAGGTAGAATATAACAATTGCATAATTCTTGTCAGTCCTTGTTTTTCTTGTTACTCTCCTGCCCTAATAGATTTGGAAATGTAAGGGAAGGCGTGTTCCTGTGTTCACGCGAGACAGTCCTGATGGGGATGGGAAGCTGTGCTTTCTCTCCTGGGAAAGCACCAAGTGCCCCAACAGCAGCAGCTCCATGTGGGTGTTACTGAGAGAGACCCTTCCCCAGGATGTGCAGGCTCTGCTCACTCCACAGCCTGAGGAGCCCTTTGCAAAGAGCCTGAACACTTCACCAGACCATTACAGCCAGAGCACAAAACAGGCCTATGGAACTGGATAGGGCATTAGTTCTCCATGTTTGCATGAGCACATTTCAAAGCATATAGCTCTTATTTTTCCTCCAATTGCACATTCTCCTCCTGAAATGCTGTTATATGAGTTCTGCATATGCTGTAATGGCTATTGCAGCTGTGAGCCCTTTCCAAAGAAAGAGTCTTGTCATATGAAACATCCTGTGCATTGGCAGGATCTTCATGCACAGCTCCTGACCATGGCTGCCTTGTCAGCAGCTGCAATGAGGTGCTGTGACAATTCCCTTTGTGTGCTTAAACCTTGCTGAGGTGGATTAGCCCCAGACGGTGCTGTGGAAACCATTCCCAAGTTTCCCGTTCTGTTGGTGTCGTGTGCAGCCAGTCCGGTCTATCTGCAGTGCTCTCCGCAGTGCCATGGCAACGGGAGGTTTAGGAACGCCCGCCGGAGCTGTGCTGCAGGCCGTGCTTTGCCAGGCCGCATTTTGCTGTGGTGGGGTCCCTGCCGGGGAGGGATGGGTGCGTGGGAGACGTGTGGGTGGCAGTGGCGCGTGGCCGGTGTGGTGGGTGAGGGGATGCGGGTCTCTGGCGGGCACAGGATTCCTCTCTGCCTGCCCGGCAGACAGGCCTGTGGGCTCCCTCTCTTGGCTCCCAGCATAGTGGAGTGGTTTCTGGGGCTGGTGAGAGAAACAAAAGGCTTTAAGAACAGTCTCTTCCAATGTTGGTATTGCCTTAGTCTGTGGTGGGCACAGGAGGAGCCGCTCAGGAAGGGAGGGCCGGAATGAAGAGCTGCAGCATTGTCTCGCTTCGCTCTCTGTAGACGCTCAGGATTTTCTCAGCAGTCAATGAAAACATTTTAAGCTGGGGTTCAGCATGTTTGTGGAAGGTGACATGTATTTTGGCTGTTGATCCTACTCTCTTATTTCAAATACATTTTGGCAGAATGACCGTATCCTTGCTGGAACTGCCCACTACCCCTTGGGCTGTGTAATGCAGTTGTTGTTTGCACAAAACTGGAATCAAGGAAAAAACAGTCCTGAAAGCAACAATTACAGTTTTTAACCAGTGTTTTGTCATTGCCAGTCTTGGCAACAAGACACTGGGTGACCAGAAATTTAAGGAGACTTCTCTTGGCACAGTAAACTATTAAGTCAGTCCCTGACAGGGTGCAGATAGGGAAGCAGTGCCCAGACCCCACAGCAGGAGCCTGTCAAGCACGATGGTAGTGTAGCACTGGCACTGCTGGCATCATCCATGTGCCCAGCACCTTCTGTGCTCCCACTCCGTGCCACACACTGCAGACCAAAAGGCAGAATTAGTTCTAAGTTAATGTGCAGAAGGTCTGTGGGTGCTGCTGTGAGCAGGGTGCTGAGGAGCTGACAGGTTTAATGTGCATGCTGGGACAGGCAGCTGCTGGAAGAAGAATGCCTCGCTCCAGACAGACCTGTCGACAGACACAGCTCAGTATTTCACAGCACAGTCTTTTCTTGTGGCCTTCAGCTTAATTAAGATGTTGTTGTGACTACATACTGCCTTCATTTCAGACTTAAGCATCTTTTGCCTGCATATTGCTTTGGCTTATCAGAGGCACAAGGACAGTGAGGGAGAGGCAGCCCTTGCAGGCAGGCACAGATAATAACATACAGGGAAAATTCCTGAATGAAGTGAAAAATTATTTATAATAATGGTACTCAAATAGAAGGGAAATAAGTCACTCTAAGGGTATATAAATTTTTATGATAGTGTATAAACAGCCATAGCTTGCCTTGTCTCCCATCTATCCCTGCAGAGAATGAGGGCAACATCTAGCATAAAGAAAAATATAATAAGAAAATGAAGAAACGAATGGGAAGAGCTGGAGGATTGATCACCCAGTGTATTTGTATATCCTGATGTAAAAGGTGCTGCTGACAGGTGGCCAGGTTTCTTCTGTATAAAACCATGTGTGTGCTGTCAGGGCGGTGTGAGCAGCCTTGTTTCGATTGATGAATTGCCTGCTTTCTTGATTAAACCTTCCGTCACTTACGAAACAAAAAGCCTGTGTTTCGATGGCAGAGTGGGACATGTCAAAAAAATCTGTCTGCTTTACCTTTGTGCAGATGTTGGGCACAGACTGCCACATGTATTATTAAAATGAATGTGGCATTTACTGTGCATTATTTCTTTCCTGGGAGAAGGGACCTGTAAATTATATGCTAATAATAAGCTTTAACCCTTCCAGGAACCTGGAGATTTAGGAATGCAGATATTCCTGCAGGCCTCACTAATTGAATGGGCTCTAACACCACTTCAGTGGGGTGAAGTAACTAAGCATTGACTTCAGCACAGTGTGCTGGTGCCTCTCGGGATCTTGCCTCCCATAAGTTTTCTGCTCTGTAAGTGCCACTGAAATGGAAACCTTCTGGATTACAAAGTCTCCCATCAAAAGTCCCCTCGAGCTCTGATTACAGGCAGAGTTGTCTCTGCCTGAGGCCAAGACCGGACTCAGGGTGGCTGCATGGCCATCGCACGACCTCCTCCTGGGGAGACAGGCCCTGCCCTCTGTGCTGGCAGAGCTGCCTACACTCTGCCCAGACTTGGATTGCACTTTCAGAATTGCCTCAGCCGGCCAGCTTGAGATGGACTCAATCAGTTATCCCAGGAAAATGATCAGGGGTGGAAAAAGGCTCAAGGCACCCTGCAAAGCATGTGGCAGGCTGTTGCGTTGGAAACTAGTGACTGAGTTTGCCAAAGGAGAGTTTGATGGCCTCAGATGTGGTTCGTGGGAGCTCATGAGCTGGTCCAAGCTGTGTGCTTCCCTGTAGTGAGGATTTGTGGGAGTCCATGAGCTGGTTCAAGCCATGTGCTTCCCCATAGTGGGAGTTTCTCAGCTGGAGTCGGGTGGGCAGAGCCCTCGCTGCCATTGGTCTGTGACCCTGCACTTTTGCTGAGCAGGGTTGTCTTTTTTTTTTTTCCTCTGAAATTTCCCTGTAGTCTTTGTTGTTACCTTACACATAGATGTGTTTGGGGGAGTAGCAGACAAATTTATGTAATTTGAATGTAGGACAGTCTCATCCGTTCTC